TTTGGAAAAAAAAAAAAAAAAAAAAAAAAAAAAAAAATGGTGAAACACAACCAAAACAGCTAAAGATGGAAATAAAAACACATACATAAATAAAGCGAAATTAAAGGAGATGGAGAATTGCTTAGGGTTGTGCTGACATTTGACCATTGCCATTTCAAGCGAAACGTCAAAAAATTTCACGATACGTAGCAACTAAATACAGATCATTCTGTTTCGCTCCAGTTAATCCATGTGTTTCAGTCATATCCAAATCTTGTGGATTAATTCCATATGGGAGTTTCCATTCAAAGTTGTAGAGCAATTGAGCTAGAGGGACTCCAATATTAGCTAAACCAAATTGTATTCCTGGACAAATCCTTCTTCCTGTACCAAACGGAATATACTCAAAGTAATTTCCCATAAAATCAATTGAAGAGTTGTAAAATCTCTCTGGTATAAAACTTTCGGGATCATTCCAACTTTCAACATCTCTTGCAAGTGCCCATGCATTGACCAATACTTTGGTCTTATTAGGTATATTATATCCTGCAATATTAGTTTCCTCCCTACATTCCCTAGGTCCCATAAGTGGAGCTGGAGTATGTAGCCTTAATGTTTCCATAATCACTAACTTTAAATATGATAACTTTTCAACAATATTATCTTCTTCATCATATATTTTCTTTCCTTTAAAGACTTGTCTCACTTCACTTTGGGCCTTGGCCATAACATTTGGGTTCTTCATCAATTCTGCCAATGCCCAAATTAAAACTGTAGATGAAGTTTCAGTTCCACCTAGAAAGATATCCTACATCAACAAACATATAACTAAAGTTAATAGAGATCGATTCTTACCTGAGGTAAATGATAACAACATATCTAGTGGATTTTCACAAGTTTATATTTTGCTCACACAATAAGTAATTTTTGCTGCAACTACTTTTTTTGTGTGTGTGTCAGTGTCTGAGTTATTTATTAGGAGCTGGTCAAGATTAAAAGAGATTAACAACCGTGTTTTATTTTAGGAAGGAGTATAAAACATCAATAACATACCAAGTGCAATTTCACGTAATTGGGTATAGGGAGAGTAGTGTATATGCAGACCTTACCCTTATCTTTTGGAGGTAGGGACAGTGTTTTCAATAAACACTCAACTCAAGGAAAGCATAAGCATACAACAACAACAACAACTCAGTGGGATCCCACAAGTGGAATCCGGGAAGGGTTATATCTACGCAGACCTTACCCCTACCCTGAAGGATAGAGAGGCTATTTCTGAAAGACCCTTGACTCGAAAGTAAAAATAGAAATAACAACAACAAAGCCAGAAAAAATGATATCAACAATGTAAGGACCGGAGAAAAAATAAATGGAAGAAGGAAAGCATAAGCCATGCAAAAGAAATAGTAACAACAATAAGAAAGCAAACTTACAAAAAGCATAGCTTTTATATGGCCATTTGTGATTGGGAAATGAAGTTGGTCCTTCTCCTTAATTCTTAGGAAAACATCAACCAAATCTTCATCTCCAAACTCACCATTTCTCTTGTTCCCAGCTGCTCTATTTGCAATATGCTCATTGATTATATTTTCCATAATTTCATCAACTTTTCGATGTGCATTCACCAATCTAGATTCCATACCACTCAAATTGTGAAGTAATTTCCAACAAGGGAACAAATCAGCTACAAAAAATCCTCCTGCTAATAAGAGTACTTCTTTCAAAAGTGTCCTAAACTCGCCTCGATCTTTGCATATTTTTCCAAAGGCTGATCTACAAGTAACAGAGTTGGTAAACATAAAGATTTTTTCTGTTATATTAACTTCAGTCATAGATCGAATTGATGAAATGAGACTCGAAAGCTCTTTTTCTCGAATTCCACTAAACGACTTTACCATCTTTGAGCTAAGAAGTTCTACAATACAAATTTTACGCATTTGCCTCCAGTAGTCACCATATTGGCTAAATACCATATCTATATTATTGTAAAAAATGATGGTTGAGGATGTAAGTTGTGGCCTATTAGCAAAAGCAAGATCGTGAGTTTTAAGAACTTCTTTTGCAATTCTAGGTGATGATATGATTATTGTAGGAACTTGCCCTAGTTGCAAATACATAAGAGGTCCATATTTCTGTGCTAAATTTTTAAGAGTGCGATGTGGAAGTTCTCCTCCAATTAAGTGATGTAAACTTCCAATAAAGGGAAGTCGCCATGGACCTGGAGGTAATCTTTTGTTTTGGTTTCTGGTTTTTGATATTCTCCATAGTCTAACTAGAACAAACAAGGAGGAGAAGAAGAGAAGCAATGAAACTAAGTCGAAAAGAGAAGAATAAATCGCCATTATTGTGATCAAACTTAGGAAAGAATAAAATGGAGTTTATTATATTGGTTCAAGGTACATTTAGCTGCTTTTATAAATGGTAAGAGGTGGAGCATGCGCGGAGCCAGAATTTTCATCGAGGTGTCAAAATATAAATAATTAGATACATCACTGCCTGCAGTATTTCAATTTTGAAGGTTCGGCATTATAATTCTTTTAAGTTACTGAATTCTAAAACAACAAAGTTTATATTTTTAATGAATTTTTAATACAATTATTGTTTACCGAAAAAATCGGATAACGTTAGATTTGTGGATGGTTCTAAGGATATGCGATACAATTTGATATAAATCGCATAGAGAAATGGAAATATGTATATTGTTGACTGTAAGAACGAAAATAATAAGCAAAAAAGAATGAATAAGTAAAACAAGCACAAGGGGATTACTATCAATATAAGAAGTGATCTTTTTTATGTTCAGCCCTCTCTAGCTTACACGGATTCCCCCTTTTATAGAAGAGGGTCATTACCAAAAAACAATAAAATAAAATATATAGTAGAAGACCCATGATGACTTGTCTCTTCCTTGATTCCCGCCAAGATTCTCTTCTTGGTATGGTTGCAACGGCTCTTGTCTGTGAGCTCGATACTAGCTTGAACTCGTTACTGGGTCGGGCCCTTCGGTCTTGGATCGAGTTCGACCTTCGAAATGGGCGTCGCACATTTCCGACCTCGAAGCAGTGCCTTGCGGATCGATTCGGTCACGGGTTCGATAGGATTATCGAGCCGCCTCCTCGAGCGACCTTCGGGCTCGAGGTTCGTTAGTACCGACCTCAGAGCTCACTCCCAAAATCTTATTCCGACTTCTTAACACTCGAACTCGATCGAACATAAGAAGACCGACATCTATTTCGACCGTATACAATTATAAAGTTTAAATCAAAGCGGATACGGTTCTCCACTAATAATGGTCCAATACCCAAATGACCGAATTAATAAAGGAAGTTAGGTTCTCTATATGCATGCATGGGACGATCACATTATTTAAAAGGTACTTGCTTGCGACTTTGCTTAATACTCCCATTTTTCTTGTTTATATGAACATTTTCACTTTATGGTTTACTGTGTGAGGATTAAATTTTCTAAAACGCAACCAAACGGCCCCTTAGATATATGTGGAATTTTTTCTTCCACACATATATGTGGATTCGATCTACCGACAAAGTCTCAACTTCATAAATCATATTGACAAGATTAATAAATAATGGATTCCTATTTTAAGGGTAGAATTATATATATTTTTTTATGTAAATCAGAAATGATAAATAATCATTCATCCTTAATCAAAAATTTTAAATTCGAGTCTTGGATATAAAACTACCTTTGTTAGAATACTTTACCGCCAATATAGGATTTTTCGACATTAATTCAAATTTATTCGATAAAAAAATCGAATGGAAACCAAAAAAATGTCAATTGCTTTGAGATGCTCAACTATTACTTCCAAGAATATATTGTATTTTTCCATGTCTGTCGGAAGTTAGTGTACTATATCTACCATCTTTTTACTGTATTTTATTGTATTGTGATAAGAATCTAGCAGTTGATGTGACTATTATAATACGTCATTTCCTACTATGGTCCAATTCTTATCGATCCAAGGGCGCCATATGCAGAATTTTGTTTTTATAAAATTATTAATATTACAACTTCATGGAAATCATGAGTCGTGTAGTATTTACTTTTAATAATTAATGAAATATGTGTACGGGTAAAATCAGAAGTAATATCTATCCCGATTTTTCAATGAGAGAACGAAGGGAAAGCACAGATTTACGAGATTGTAATTGAGGTCAGAGACCCTTCGTATCGAGATTCATGAAGAGTGAACGGTATATCCAACATCGAACATGATAAAGCGACGCGCCCGGGCCGAGTATAAGTTCTAGACCTCGGAAGACACGGTGAACGGTTATGCATGACGGATAGAGGGCCGTAATACTCGCCCTCAACCGGATATCACGGCACGAATCTCGCTCGATGTCGATTATGGATTAACAATTACCGGAAAAAGAAGATTTTTATCTTTTTTAAACTTATACTAGGACTCAAACTCTCATACTATATAAAGGGGAAGTTTCTCTTTAGTCTCACACATTGTATTACATAATTCAAAGCAATAAAGATTTACTTTTGTCTTCAAGTTATTGTTAAAGGCATTATTCACTTGTCATGTCTTTTATTCGCGACTAGGCTTGAATCGAGGATCCAACCGAGGACGAGCTCGTTATTCAATCTAAGATCAGTCTTGGTCTTAACATTGCGATTGGTTTGATCCTTTATATCATTATTAATTCATTTATTTATTATTCTTAATTATTTATATTGAATTAAACCACATATCTTAAACCACGTATAAATTTAATTGTTATCTAATTGGGATAAACAGTTTGGCGCTCGCCGTTGGACTAAGGATAATAGTGGCGATTTGACACGAATCTCCATAACACACCCCTATTTTACGGTTGTTCTTTGAAATCTTAATTCCAGGTCAACCTAAAAATGTCAAACTGTTAGTCGGCTCACTTGAACGTTGACGCTGAATCAGGCCACCGCAACGAAAATTATAATGTGGTGCCCAGCAATGATGTGCTTCCTGCCAATCTCAACAGTGTCCCAGCCGCCGATCCGGTCGATGCTAACTCGCATGTGGCCATCAACATAATTTGCCAACTGATCCCGAAAACAGTGTTCATGGAGTATCCCGACCAACATCCCGAGAAGCACTCGAAGGTGAAGGTGATGGGGCGAGACAACGACTGATTTTCGAAATGCTACAGGTTCAACAAGCGGCAATAACATATCTGCAAAATCAAAGCCACGCCCCTAACAGGGTTGAGCCCGAAGAATCCCGGGAAGGCACTCGAAGAGACGAACAAATTACCGAAAAACAGGGTGAAGCCGAGCCCAGGGTAAACTCCGAGGTAATGAAGATGCTCGAAGCATTGACAAAACGGGTAGAGTCAGGCGAGAAAAAGATTGAGGCTAATGACAAAAAGGTGAAAACATACAACTCCAGGGTCGATTAGATCCCGGGAGCACCTCCGATATTGAAGGGATCGAGCTCTAAAAAATTTATCCAGAAGCTCTTTCCTCCGAGCGCGACACCAAAGCCGATCCTAAAGAAGCCACGTATGCCCGAAATCCTCAAATATAACGGGACCATGAATCCGAATGAGCATGTGACCTCTTATACATGCGCAATCAAGAGGAACAATCTGGAAGACGATGAGATCGAGTCAGTGTTACTGAAAAGGTTTGGGGAGACTTTGTCCAAGGGACAACTTGCCCCCAAATTCCATTGACTCGTTTTCTATGCTTGTAGATGCTTTCGTAAAGGCCCGTGCTTTCATAAAGGGATAATGATATGCTCAGGGAGTTCGTGTCGATATTCTAGATGAAACAGATAGACCTACCACCGGCTGCAGATGATTGGGTCGTTCAAGCATTCACTCAGGGGCTCAACCCCCAAATTTCCCTGGCCTCTTAGCAGCTCAAACAAAATTTGGTGGAGTACTAGGCGGTAACCTGGGCGAACGTCCACAACCAGTACCAGTCGAAGATCAGGGTCGAGGACGACCAACTCGGGGCCTCTTTTGGATCTTTTTACCCCATCAGGGCCGATGATAGATTTAAGAGAGCCATTGGTCAAGAGCCAAGACCGGCCTGAGATCGGTGTCAACTATACAGCGCAGACTGAAGGGGAAATGGATTCGGGCATCACCCTACAAGGAACGAGAATAGAAGAAATCGAGGTCCTAGTGGCTGAGGTCTGACGAGCAAGAATTGATTCGATAGGTCACTCGGGAGTAGGGAGGCACCGAGGTTATCGGAATATAACTTCCACTTAGACGCTGCAAGCATCATGTCATCCATAGGGCACATCAAAGAGATCAAGTGGCCACGACCGTTGCAGTCCGATCTAGCCCAGAGAGATCCTAACTTGATGTGTAAATATCATGACACTCACAGTCATAGGACCGAGGATTTCCGACAGCTAAGAGAAGAGGTTGCTCGACTATTCAACAATGGGCACCTCCGAGACTTCCTAAGTGAACGAACCAAAAATCACTTCAGAAATAGAGACACCAACAAATAGGTCGAACAAGAGGAGCCTCAACATGTGATCAACATGATCATAGGGGGAGTCGAAGTCCCCCAAGGGCCAATGATAAAACGCACTAAGGTGTCTATTACGAGGGAAAAACGCACCTGGGATTACGTTCCTGAGGGAGGCATTTCATTCAGCGACAAAAATGCCGAGGGCATCATACAACCTCACAAGGATGTACTAGTAATATCTGTACTTATCAATAAATATCGAGTTAAACGTGTGTTGGTTGATCCAGGTACCTCGACCAACATCATCAGATCAAAGGTCGTAGAACAATTGGGGTTACAGGATCAAATCGTACTGTCAGTCTTGGTATTGAATGGATTCAACATGGCATATGAAAC